CCTGCACATTTCATCACTGCCAAACCTCCTTCCTTGTCCTGAGCCATTTGCCCACTGGTGAGAGTGGCGTTTGAGCTATTTTCACTCCATGGGACTGAGGAACAAAGCCAGGAAGCTGTAGCTAGAACTCATCTCTGGCTTTGAAACCTAAATGAAGCTATCATCGGCAAGCTTCAAGTTGTGGTGAGCCTTATTGGTGCTCATATCAGCTTCTGTCTTTACCACAATTCCAGGTTTATACATTCTAATCCAGGAATGATAGTGGAACCACCATGTTCTCTCTGTGTTCCTTGACTGAGAATCTAGTTTGTTTATCATAATGAAGTTGCACCATTATCTACGGGTTTTACTCTGCATAAAAGTTATTTCCCTCCTGCAAGATTCTTGTCATTCAGAGGATTTTAAAAATGCACTAGCAATTTATGGGAAAACATTCATCCTAAGTATTTGTCTTCATAATATCAGTTCATTGGACAAAGCATAGCATGCAGAGCATCTGTAAGGAGTAGGAACTCACTCATACGAAGAGAAGGTCCTCCTCATAGGTTCAGGGACCAGGGAAGGCATGGTGCAGGAGAAGTGGTCACTTTGGCACAATGGACAGGCAAGTGCCCATCTCCAAGATTCCATTCTACTGCTGGTCTGACCATATCCCCTGACCAAATAACTCTAAGGCTGGGCAAGGATTAATCTAGATCAAAGTGGGGCTCTGAGGATAGCTAATCCCTAAATCTTGCTTAGTCAGGAACCCCTCACATACCTAATTTTTAGAATAGTCTTCCCTCTCCACAAATATCAATAAAGTATCCCTGAGTTAATCAACCTTTAATTCTCAAAAAACAGTGATTTCTTCCCATGTGAACAAACAAAACTTACTTCAGACTTAACCAAAGTGCCATGTCAATTGCCATTTACTTATATTACTTAATAGCCATCATAAAGAAGTCAAAATAAAAACTACCACTTATCACCAGATTAACAGAATTATGCTAGCTCTTATTTTCGTCATGATTGATAATTTTAATCATGCTTGCTTCATTAGAAACCTTCCAGACTAAAGAAGAGATTTTGTCAAAAAGAGCTGATGAAGGTGACTTATAATGATTTTTAAATATGGTGACATTTACAAGTAAAGAAGAAAGAAAGAAAGATTAAATGGCGAATAAAATCCTCCAAGTGTGTATATGTGTTTAGATGAAAACTATTCTATGAAGATTAGATAAATAACAGCTTTGGTAAAATCAACAAAGAAATGAGCAATATATCAAATGGATGTTTCTTCGATTTTTAGAGAGGTCACAAAAGCTATTCCATCAGATAACTACCAATCTCCTCCTGAACTTTTCCCAAAGTTAATAAACTATAACCTGCTAGGTATTTCAAACTATAAACTATAGGACTAAAGTGACTATTTTCATCATTTATATATTTATTCTTAGGTTCCTTCCTTTCTGAAGCATCATTGTTTCAATCATCCTAAACATTTCAATGTTTTTTAACCCAAAAAGATAGCTGGCTGCCTTTGTACTGATTTGGCCAAGAATAAACATTAACTGGCATTGAAATATTACTCTTATAGTATATTACACATACTACTACTTGCCAGAATAAAGTTTCAGTTATTACACCTACGTTTATAGATATACACATATGTGTGTCTATATACAGACAAGTAGACTTTTATATAGAGAGACTCTGTGTATATGAAAATGAGACCTTTATTTGCTTGTGTAATGTGCCAAAATATTAAATTAGAAAATTCAGCCAAGTTCTTTACAGTTTTACTTGAAAATATCTTTTAAAATTCATACAAAGTTGATTCACTTTCTTGAGAATTTCAAAAGAATCATGGGCCAATCTCAGTTTCACAAACTATTTGGTCCTTAAAATTACATTTAAAAGGAAAAAAATGAGCTACAAAAAAGTAGAAATTAATCAGTACAAATTTATGGTAAAAGGGAATTATTTCTTAACAGCCATGATTCTCCTCTTTAATCAGAGAAATGGGGACCAACCAGATTTTTCTATTTCCCTAAAACTCTCCTACCTTCCTAACGCAAACCTTATTTGAAGGAAATAATGCCCAGGCATTAACATAAGTCATTAAAATGAAAATAGCCAGATTAGATCCCCTGAAAATTTATTCATCCTCCACATTACTTCCATATTCTCCTTGAAAACTTCCCTAGTCCCTGTTCCTCATCTTTTCTCCATATTTTCATCATACACCTTCACCTAATTTATGATGCTTCCTTTCTTAGCAGGTATGAACTGCTTCTATATGTGTCACCCCAACAAGACTGTGAGTTCCTAAGGGTAAAATCAGCTTTATAATACAAAACAGTGTCTGTCTTCTTCTCAGAATTAAATAAATGCCTATTGCATTAAGAAACTAATATCATAAAGAAAAAATGGAAATGCAGCTAACATCTACATTTTCAAATGACATGAGCTTCACTGCCATCATTCATTGCTCTTTGCAGCTGCAGTTCTGTGACTCTTGAGAGGTAAGCCAAGGATTGGACAGCATTTCAATGCCAACAAACACATTTTCAGAATAGTTGAAACTGCTCTTTTATTTAATAGCAACATCCTTTTTCATTCCAGTATCTCCATAAATTAGATTCTACATGCCCCAAATAAATTACACCCAGAAAGATCCTGGTAATCAGATCAAGCATCAGAACAAAAATTTATTGCGCCAAAGGAGCTATACTATTTACTCACTAGTTTATTCACTTGTTCATTCATTCATTCCATTGGTTATTCTCTGTTCATTTCTTTATTTCTTCATTTATTTTTATAATCAGGTGTGCAGAATTGGATTAATCTTAATCCTCAATTCCTATCATGCCATCATCCTTACTTCATGTGTGGCTCTATTTCATCTTAATTTATCTTATTTTATTGTTGGTTTATTCTAAGGAGAAATTACTTTAGTCACAACAATGAACTACGGAAGTAGAACATTGACAATAACTTACACCTGAGTAGTTCCAATCTATTGTGTCCCCCTTTTCTCCCACATGAAGAAACCCAAAATTTCTCCAAAATTTATCATCCCCTTCCTTTTCTTTTGGTTTTATCTCATATTTTCATACAACTAAACAATATCTTCTTTCATATCCATTCAAAAAGTACTTCTATTAATGTTTTTATATCAGAAAATAAGCAAATATTTCATTTTACTGAAACATTTAATGAGTTCAGGCAATGTACACATGGCATTTAGGCATGGTTCAGCAAGCTCTGGGGGGAGGTTTGGGGCCTGTTGAGGATAAAACCAATCTGCCCTTTGTTTCCTATGCCACAGCCTCAGTTCTATGCCCAGAAGCAGGTGGGTGCCAGAATTCTCTCACAGATGACATCCCCTGTGTTTATATGTCACTTTACAACCTTTCTGTGCCTTCAAAGACAATAACTTATTTGAATTTCACAAAGGGCTTCTGTGATATGTGGACTAGGCATTTTAGAGAAGACAAAAATGAAGCTCAAAGCCATTAAGAAACTTGACCAAGATTGCATGGTGACAAGAGTAGCTGGGACCCAGAATTTCTGATTTCTAGTGCAATCCTTATCCTTCTTACCTCTTCCTCCACCTTCTCCAGGCCCACACCCACAAACAAGAGATGTTCATCAACCAACAGCTTTTCTGTAGAGGATTGCAATTGCACACTGCTTCAAACAGCATGCAGTGCTCTGCCTTCCTTATTCAGCTATTTTTCTCATGACATTTACAGGAGAATAGCTATGGGGCTAAACAATCTCTGGAAAACCATCTTGGCTTATTTGCAATTTCACTCTCTGGCTCTATTTTATTTCACACTTATATAAAGGCATCTTAAAGACATGCTGCTAAGTGTATGTTTCAATGGCTTTGTAGGTACTCCCTTTAAAAGTGGACACATTTTTCATGGTTCTTAATTATGAAAGTCCTGCTACTGTCACTGCAATTCTTTGAAAGCTCTTCCTCAAAGTGATGTTGTCAGTCTTGAACGACAACAGTTTAGAGCCATATATTCCCCTAGAAACCAAGTAAATGTAATTTATTCTATTTATCTAGCCCTATGGGGGTTAATGGATTCGCTTCATTCATCTTGTCATTGGAAAGTCTCACAAGTGACGATACCCACTTCCTCAGCTTCATCTCCGCCCTGATCACTCCCCACCACTGTCATTTTTTGGTTCATAGAGTCCTCCACCAAGAACAGTATTCCTTAATTATCCTCAATAATTCATAGGTAATCACGGGCATTACACAAAGGAATGAAATATAAAGATTCATTTGAAAACATGGGGCATTATGAACCATTATATTTCATACCCTGAATATCATCAGCATCCTGATTGATTTCATTTGGGTTTCCCTTTTTAATACTAGCATTGCATGTACAGGAGGCATAAAAATCTGCTGTTATACACAGCATTAATCTGCACTCGCTAAAGAAAGGTTTCTCACAACCCACCCACAGCAAGCTCAATCTGTGGTATGACTCAGGTCCCCTGACATTCTGCTACATGTCCCTCTGACCCCCGCAGATTGTGGAAGACCTCACAAGGCACCTGCAGTCCCCAAGCGTCTGTGAAACTGCCCTGATTCCCCCGGGGCACCGCAGGCTGCTGCGAGCCTGAGGAAAAGGGGCAGGTGGGTGTGCCAAGCAGCCGGTTTTTATTCTGGCATTTGCCAGAAGGGAAATTGCTAAAATGTTTTAGGGCCCCCTCAGGAGCATAAAAATGTCATACTGCCTTTTAGCTTTTATCCCTCCCTAAAATCAATGTTTTCTAAAAGAGAGAAGCTTTAATACTCTTATAAGAGTTTTGCTTCTGATGCTGAATGAACTGTAAAAAAAATAAAAAAATAAAAAAAAATAAAAAAAAAAAGAGTTTTGCTTCTGATCCAGCTTATATTAATTAAGCACATCCTTTTGGCCAGGGTTTTTAATAACTTAATTTCCATAACAATCAGCTATTAATTATTTTTACCTCACAGTTGTGTAAACTGAGGCCGGGGGACTAAGAGGCCCACCCAGGTCATGCAGGGGCAGAAGCAGAATCCTGAGATGCTGACTCCATTGTCTTCTCCCTTCTAGATGTTACATCTCGTCATAATCTGGGCATGAGTCTGTGGGGGAGAGAGGTGAGGCTACAGTTAAATACACTGGGCCTGAGTCCCATATGGAGTTGTTTGTGATTCACTCACTCATTCTTTCAGCAAATATTTATTGAGAAACTATGTGCCAGGCCCTCTTTTAGGCACCAAATACAATGGGGATCAAAACAGACAAAACTGCCTGCTTCAAATAGTTTATATCTACTGTAGGCCACAGTCAATAAACAAGATGCAAAAAAGTAAAATACATAGTATATTAGCAAGCATTAAGTACTCAGAAGAAAACACAAATCAGGGAAGAGAGATCCGAAATATTACAAGTTGAGAGGGGTTGAAATTGTTGCTAATAGGGTCAGGGAGGGACCTCCTGGGAAGAAAACTTTTTCAATCTTTTTTGACATTGTAGTTATATTCAATTATCTCACTGATATTTGCTCTTTGGGACTGTTGTAGGGAATCCCATCACTTTATTTCTAGGATACATTGGAAGAATCAACTTAATAATGTTAATCAATTGTCCCATTACTTTTGAATCAACTTTGCTTCATCTGGTGACTTAGGATGCTTCCAAGGACCAAAAGCTGCAGGTGTGGTTTGGAGAGTTCTTGGCTATTGTGGAGACCCTAGAGTGGATGAGGGTGATCCTCTGGATTTACTCTTCTAGCAGTCACCTTCTGATGCCCTCAATTACCATCCTATAACTTTCAGCCTGTTACCAAACTTTCCTGTGCATTAAAAAAATCTGTGAAATGAAAATATGTTAGTACTCACCACATAGGGCTGCTATGAGGATTATCTGAGAGTAATCCCTGACAAGTACTGTTCTCAGAAAGAGGTCGAGTATGTAATTTATATGTGTAATGTACATGTACAAATGTTAATGAATGAAACATTAATCTTGGTGACGTTCATCAAAAATAAAAAAGTAAACACTGCCATGCAATTTTATTTCTTTAAAGAACACTGATGTTGGCATGGATCTAATGTGGCAAATATCCAGCACTAAGAAAATGTTTTTAATTTAAGATGTGAATATAAAATAAAAAGGCAGCAATCTTGGAAAACAGTTTCAAAGGTAATTCCATAAACATTTTGAAAAATAGCAGCAAAATTGACTGCAGTTCAAGATTTTGAAGAATAACTTTCACTGGGACACAGGTATAATTATTGAGGTGATTATTATTCATTGGTTAAAAAATAAATAAAGAGCAAAACCATCAAGGGTAAAAACTACATATTACCATCATCTGTATATCCCTGGTCACCAGATATGTATGAAGAGACCCGGGAAAAAGTGGTGACAGGAGCCACAGGAAGTGTCCAGTGACAGTAAGTATCCAAGTACAGCAAGCCCAACCTTTGCTATATGTCTGTGGTTTTCAAACTCTGTTCCAGATTGTCCTAGGATTCCACAAAGATGCTCTCGAGGCTGTAACTAGACAATGGCAAGGGCTTGAGAGCAGGACTCTGGACTCCTGACCTTGCGGCAACTACACTGCAGCTCCATGTTCACTGGCTTTATATTTTGAGTCCTATGTAAGAATTTATTATTCTTTTAGAGTTCCTTTTTTAAAAAGTTTGAAAACATTACTTTGTAACTAGCATATGGTTTCCATACCAGCATGCTTTCACTATCTAGCCCAGTGCTTGACTGATAATAGTTCTTCCGTGACTATTTTCTAAGTAACTAGATCATTCTGGAAAACTGGGACAAACACATATAACATAGCTAATATGAAACCAAGTCCATTCAACTTTAATCAGCACAAGGAGTTATGAATTTCAATATTGTACCAAAATACACAGGATGGCTAGGGATGAGGATTAGAATAGATAAAATTTGGAGGGCAGAGCAACATGGTGGATGAGAAACACCACCAGACAGAATGTTTCTACAGAAAAGACAGATTCTAGGAGAAATTAGATGAGAGAAGCAAGCAGACGAGCATACATCAGACGAGGGTCAGAAGGAGCGTACAGTACCTGAGACCACAGGAGACTCCATGGAAGGAGGTTGCAGAGGAGAACTGGAAGCAGAGACCTCCCAAGTAGCCTGGAGACCAGCAGCAAGGGTAGGTGAAGCAGTTAACTTTCCCCTCCCTTGCATCTTGGACTGTTGGTAGGCTCCCCAGAGGTTGGAGAGACCTGTGGACACCAGCCCAGAGACAGCCACCACCAATGAGCAGTAAGCCTGTAGCCGACATGGCACCAGGCTCCCAACTCCCTCAGGGCACCTCCGTGTGCACAGACCCAAGCCACGCAGCAGGCGCCATATTGCCTCATTCTCCCCTCCCCCATCTCTATCCACGGCTGCCGAGAGAGACAATATAGCCACCAGCCGGAGGCACCTCTAGGGAACGAGACCTTCCTTTTTGGGGCCCTACAGCTGACTGAGGGGAATTCAGACTGTGAGTTCTCTACCCGCCAGCCCTCACAGGTGCTCCTGGCCTGGTGATCCCAGAAGAACGGGGCAGACCCTGAGGCTGAGAGACATCAACCTAGCTTGGGCTCCCCATGGGTGAATTAGAACTGGGATTCCTCTCTCCAGTGGAGTTAGGGATTGAACTCCGGGGCCCAGAGGTCACACCTGCAAACCAGATCCCGTGCACCCAGGTCTCACATTGCCCTGGGCACAGAAGGGATATATGTGAAAAGCCTATTGAGGTGTGTGTGCCTTCAGGGGCAGATCAGCATCCTTGAGGGCAACCCTCCTCAAAAATGGGGGCCGTGTGCCCAGCCCAGGCAGCAATCCTGTGCAGGGAACCTCCTGGCCAGCATCACAACCAGAGGAGGCCCGGTGGCATGAGGCCTGGCCTGCTGGCAGAGGCCCAGGAGTAGCTGGGGAGTTGGGGAGGGTGGAAAAGAGTGAGGTCACTCAAGACTGTACATCTCAGATGGCCCCACCCCCACACACAGACTTTCTGACTGAGCGGGGCCATCCTAGCCCCTTCCTGACAGCTTTTCCCATAAGCAGAGAGCAGAACTTTGACCCCTGCTAACAGCATTGGTGGTGCCTGAGGGCAGGCTTACCCAACCCAGCTCTGCCCAGACTCACTCCCAGACCAGCCCTCACTAAGGGGGAGAAAAGGACACACCTGGAAGTCCCAGGGCCCCACCGACCACCTGAGGCACTAGACTGCCTCTCCAGTGGCACAAGAACTGGATACAAGACCCTAAAACAACAGTATAGCCTGCTCCTCTGAGCAAGCGCCACCTACTGACAGGGAGGCAATTCTGCACACCCTTTGGGTGTGGTCAAAACTCACCCACAAATATCACCTACCAGCTCAGAGATAAACAGGGCATGTCAATACACAAATGACAACCTAAAGGCAAGAAGCAACAACTGATCCAGATGGGAAGAAATCAGCGACGGAATTCCAGAAATATGAAGAACCAAATGGAAAGCACACCCAAAAGAGGAGCACCAGCCCCTCAGAAATGGACACCAACCAAAATCAGGCCACCAAAATGACAGAAGAGGAATTTCGAACATGGATCTTAAGAAAACTCAACGTATTGCAAGAACAACTGGATAACCAACACAAAGAAAACACAAAAAGACTCCAGGACCTGGAACAAAAATTCACTAAAGAAATTGAAACAATGAAGAAAAGTTTAACCAAACTCCTGGAAATGAAGAATCAATTCAGGGAACTACAAAATACAGTGGAAAGCCTCAAGAACAGGGGAGATCAAACAAAAGAAAGAATCTCATAGATTGAAGATAACAGCTTCCAATTAAATAAATCAGTCACAGAGAGCAGAGAAACAAGAGAAAAGAGCAAAGCCTACAAGAGATGTGGGATTATGTGAAGAAACCTAACGTGAGGGTCATAGGGTTACCAGAAGGGGAAGAAGAAAACACTCAATGGTTGGATTTGAAGATATAATAGAGGAAAATTTCCCAGGCCTTGCTAAAAATCTCCAGATACAAGTTCAAGAAGCTCAGAGGACCCCTGGGAGATTCAATGCAAACAGGAAGACGTCACAACATGAAGTCATCAGACTAACCAAAATATCAACTAAAGCGGCCCTTGTAAGAGCTGTAAGAGGAAAGAAGCAAGTAACATACAAAGGAAAGCCAATCCAAATAACACCAGACTTCTCTACTGAAACTTTACAAGCAAGGAGAGACTGGAGCCCCATTCTCACTCTTCTGAAACAGAACAATGCCCAGCCTAGAATCTTATTCCCTGCAAAACGAAGTTTTGTATATGAAGGAGAAATCAAGACACTCTCAGCTAAGCAAAGACTGAGGGAATTCACCAAGACAAGACCAGCCCTTCAAGAAGTACTCAAAACAGTGTTACCCACGGATCAGCACAATAAACATTCATGCATGTAAATCTACTCAAAGCTAAAGATCAAAGCCCAGATACCACAATGGCTCAAGAGAGAAAACAAAGCCACAAAGTTCAACCCAACATAATGAATAGAAATCTACCCTACCTATCAGTTATCTCAATAAATGTGAATGGCTTGAACTCCATACTCAAGAGACATAGGCTAGCTGAATGGATAAAAAAACACAAGCCAAGTATCTTCTGCCTTCAGGAAACACATCTAACCTGTAATGATGCAGTGAGACTAAAGGTAAAGGAGTGGAGAACAATATTTCAAACAAATGGAAGCCAAAAGAAAGCTGCCGTGGCAGTGCTGATTACAGCAACAATATCAACAAAAGTAATAAAAGACAAAGAAGGTCACTATACAATGGTGAAGGGTACAGTTCAACAAGAAGACATAACAATTCTAAATATATATGCACCCAACCTTGGTGCACCCAGATTCATAAAGCAAACTCTACTTGATCTAAACAAATGGATAAATAAACCATAATAGTCGGAGACTTTAACACCCCACTGACAGCACAGGACAGATCCTCCAAAGAGAATATCAACAAAGAAATAAAGAACTTAAACAGAACTCTAGAACAAATGGGCCTGACTGACATTTACAGGACATTCTACCCCAAAAACAATGAATATGCGTTCTTCTCATCAGCTCAT